AGCCTTTAACCTATTTTGTATTGACTTTTGTATTTGGTGAGAGACAGGGGGTCAAATTTCATTCTTCCATATATGGATAAGCAATTTTTCTAGAAATGTTTAATGAAAAGACTGCCTTTCCTCCAATGTGTTTTCTTAGCATCTTTATTGAAAATCAGCTGACTGTAGATGTATTACTTCTACAGAACACTTCTCTTCATTTTCTTCAAGATGACTTGGTTCTTCTTGTGGTACCATATAAGTTTTAGAATTTAGCTTTTTTAGATCTGTGAAGATTATCATTGAAATTTTGTTAGGGATTGCATTGAACGTAAACATTGCTTTGGGAAGTATGAGTATCTTAACAATAAAAATTCCAAGAATTTCTGCTTTTTTAATCATATCCATCTGTTCTATAAGCTCCTTTGGAGTAATACATTTCTATGTGTTTCCTTCAAATTCCTTGAGTTTCCTTAATATAGCTGCTTGTTTTACCCAAGTTAATAACTAATAACAAATTCTGGCAACACATGTTTAAATACTGCATTATTTCTCCAGTAGAAGTATTTGTTGCTAGAAATCCCAAGCAGGCTTTTTATTTTCTCTGAGCCCATAGTCGTTTCCACTATTTCAGCACTGGGTAGCATCTAGGTCCAGATTTGCTGGTGGTCTACTGCTATCCTATTGCTGTTTCAGTACTAGAAGGCAATGCAAGCCCAAGTTTGCTCCGAACACTGCTGGAATGTTGCTTTAAAAGAACCAGGAGTCTAGGTAAAAGGAGCAGTAAATCGTCACAAACATGTACCTGGGGGTGGGGTAGACCAAAAATCCTCCTCAATTACCAGCCTATGGTCTGGTATAGGTCCCGCAGGATTCTGTTCAGCTTGGGAAAGAACCATTGTAGGTGAACTTGCTTCAGGTTCCTAGGTCATATCTACATCCATCAGTGCCACCATGTAGGGTCACCATGTAGGATCACCATCCACAGTCCATCAAGACACAGTAATGAGGTGAGACCATGACCTATGCTGCTATATTGCTGCCTATTGCTGAGGCTGACTTGTGGCTAAAGCCTTCTCTAACCAGTTACTAGGATGGTAGCTGGAATAGAAGATGGATAGACTGGGATGATGTGCCTTCCCTTGACAATGCAGCTGTTCAAGACACTTTATCTGCAGGCAGGCCTGGAGGTGGGGAATTATAATCTTCTCAGTGTTAGGTTTCATGAGCCCTGTACCAAGTTCCAGGATAAATTTTTGTACCCTGTCTTATCCTTACTCTGATGCCCCAGGTTGCAATACTGTTGATGAAGGCTAGAAAAGACTGCCTTTCTACAGTTGGTTGTAGATGTATTACTTCTACAGAGCACTTTTCTGCTCTGTGCTGTTGGTTTTTATGTGAAACCCATGCTGTATTGAATATCACAACTCTATAATATGTTTTAAAGTCAGGCCATCTAATGCCTCCTGCTCTATTTTTTTTTCTAGACAGTCTCTCCTCTGTCTAGGCTTACCTAAGCTGGGTCACAACAGTCATAGAGCAGTGTGCACTCGCACAGCCTCAGGAGTGGGTCATGACCCACACCAGAGCCAGTAGGGATACAGGCCTAAATAGGAGCCCATCCTACAGAAGTGCAGGTCTCTGCCTGGCACTAGGACAGGTCTAGAGCCTTGGTTATAAGCATAACCAACTCTGTTGCATGGTTGTACCTGTGGGGCCACTGGGTCCATCTGTGAGGTCTGACCTGCATATGGAGCCTTCAATTTCTACTGGGTATTGAACCTCGCTGTGATGGGCCTGGCTCCAGGTTCTGAGTCATATCTCTGTGCTAGTTTTGTCCCCGGTGTCCCACAAAGTACTGCTCCCTTCTGGGCCACCCCCAATGGGGGGGGTGATGTGTCAGCTGCTTATCTGACATAGTGCCAACCTTTTTTGGTCTGTAGTTATTGGCATAGCATTAGGGGTCATGATGGAACATTCTTCACCTAGCACTGAGTTTCATCAGTGAGTCTGGACTGGATTTCAAGTTGAAGGCCTAAAGTTGATCTATTCTTATTCCCCCAGGTATGAGGCAGCTCTCTCTATATGGGATTGGGGTAAAGTTGCATTTCTTGCCTTCCTGTTTCTTCAGCACATGTTTTCATTTTCTCATACTAAAAACACAGCCATAGTCTTTCATTTGGTTTCCCTTAGCTCTTGTGGAGGTGGTACTGTACCTGAATAAGCATTCAACTTGGTATTTCTATAGAGAGAAGAATGCTGGGAGATCTTAGCAGCCATTTTGCTCTGCCCTTGGCACTGTGCTTATACTCTCTATAAATGTTCTTTGATGTCAGAGATGCACACTGAAATTTATTAGTAAAAACTAAAATTCCTGACATTTGTTTTCTAATACTCCATCAAAAAGGGTAAAAGAGGGCCGGCCAAATAGCTCAGTGAATTAAAGTGCCTGCAAGCAGGCGCAGGGGCCAGGGTTTAATCCCAGGGCTGCTGTGCCAGCCCCATCCCTGGGGAGTGCTCAGACTGGGCATGGTGGTATGCACCTGTAATCCCAGCTCTTGGGAGGCTATAAACAGGCGGATCCATGAACACCCTGTAGATCTTTCCCTAAAATACAAAAAAAAAAAAAAGAAGAAGAAGGAAGGAGGAAGGAAAAAAAGGAGGAAGGAAGAAGGAGGAAGGAGGAAGGAAGAAGGAGGAGAAGGAGGAGGAGGAGGAGGAGAAGGAGAAGGAGAAGGAGAAGGAGAAGGAGAAGGAGAAGGAGAAGGAGAAGGAGAAGACAGACAGACAGACAGACAGACAGACAGACAGAAAGGGGTGAAAAGAAGACTAAGTCGACAAGGCTGGCAAAATATTGATTTTGTTCAAGCTGCATAATGGGTAATAATTATGGTGACTTTTCAATTTTTCCGTAGTAAAGACTTTTTTAGTATTATACATGCCTTCTTTTCTTGTAATTAGTTGGTCCATCTGGAGATTTTTATTGCCAAAGAAAGGGGAATCCAGTTCTGTGAAATTAGTTTTCTCCTTACAATGCCTGATTCATCTTGGAACACACAAACTGTCTTTCTCTCTACTGGTATTAAGAGAACTTTTTTGTTTTGGTTACCTGTTAGACTCAGTTACTTGATTTCTTAATACATAAAGAAAAATGTATGTTCTTCTTTAAGTAAAAAGATGTATTCAAACTTTATAAATAAAGCACTCACTGTATAGGACTGTGTAGTATGAGACTGTAGAACCCTACAGGTCAATCTTAAGCAATGTGGAAAATTACAATTTTTGTGATATTTAATTTTCTGGTTAAAATATGAAAACCCCATTTACTGGAAGTTATAACTATACAAGAAACTTTGAAATATTTTTTAAAAGTAAAGCTAATATTGACTTCATATGCTGTGATTTCAAATTTCAGAAACACTAAAGATTTATTTCATTATTACACACATTTATTATCTCTGAAAGTAAAGGAAGATGAACTAATCTAGATCCAGATCTAATTAAACAACCCAAGAGTACATGGAGATTCATGTATTCATTTGACCTTAAAAAATATTTTCCACATTATTGTGAGTCACATCTCATTTCCTTTTTTAATTTATGATATGATACACAGAGCTTTTCTCCTCACTGGTAAATTATCATAATGCTTTCAAAGTTTAGACCAGCTTCCATCATTTTATGCTTTGTGTTTTCACCATCATGAAATGTCTGAAAATTCCTTTTCTAATAAAACTCTAAATTTGAAATAGCTCTGATGTCTTGTGGAGAGTACATAAAAATTCCCTAAGGGCTTCTATAGACACTGGACATAATCTGATTTTCTATAAAACCGCTGACCAAATACTGACACAAAGGTTTATACCTGTATATTTCTGGTTTTCAAAGCTTCTTCTAGCAATCAATGGCTTTCAAGCTTTCTCCCAGTGAAATCACACTGGGAACAAATGAGTCCAACGTGAAGGGACGGGAATGGAGGATTCAGATTTCTGTCCAGGGGCCTCCCTCTTTTAGGTTCGAGGTGACCCCACACACTCCAAGAACAGGGTTTGCAAATACCTGTACTCTTTAGTAAATCAAAGGTCTAAGGTTGAGAGAATCATTAAGCTACATGCCATGATGCAGATTAACAAGGCTCTGCCCTGTGCGTTCTCCCCAGCACACTGGCACTTTCAGGTCAGCCTAGTCTTGGCAGAGTCATCTAGTCCATCTGTTTGTTTTTCTTTTGCAGAACACATATTATGATCTAATGTTACTCCCCACCCATACTTGAAAAGAGATACTTCAAACCATTCCGAGCTCTCAGCACTCACTTCAAGCATGGCTTTGATTCCAATGTTCAAAGCGCAGCTCCACCAGCAACTCCCAACCCCTGCCTGGGCTCATGCAGACAGCAGGCCTGAAATCATCAGCTCTCACACACCGACTTACATACACCTAATCTATGGGAAACTGCTCTCCCCAGTGCTTTTTATTATTTTAGCTTCTTTCACGTACACAACCTTTGTTCTAAGTCTCTACCTCCTCAGTTACTGTACATCCTAGTCCTCTTCATAAGATCAAAGCCAGCTGTTGGAGTTATTCCTTTCAGAGATAATCAGGTCCGGCTTTCAGACCTCACAAATGCTCTGACTGTGTCTCTAGGAGCACAGTGCCCTGCATCTTCTCCTGCAAGGGCAGCCAGCAGAGAGAATGGAGGGAGACAAGAAGCCAGAAAGGAAATACCTCCTCCTTTAAAGAGCTCCACAATGCCTTTCCTTTACACAAAAGGAGGAGGCAAAGAAAAGCAGAATACGCACAACAAGAATCAACAAGGGCCTTGGAAACTGGGGCCAGGAACCATGAGTGTGGCTAGGGATTGTGAGTGCACACACATGTGTTATTCTTTCACTTTTCTACGTATTCCCAGTTACAAAAGCAGTCTGACCTCTTACCTCCTGTAAAATCTAAACTCTGTTTGAAAATTTCCATCAGGGCTTAAAAGGCATAAATACTTCACAATTTTGGGAAGAAAGAATTACCAGCTGTTCATCCAGTCCAAAAAGTTGTTCAAGGTAAGTTTCAGGCAATCTTCGAAGTTTCAGTTTCAATGATGGGTCAATGCACATATCCCTTTAATAAAATCATAAAACAAGATCAAGAATTAATTGCATGTCATAGTATGCCCATAATCAAGTCAATGACTCCTGTGGCTGCTGTGGAAAGGACAGGTGAAAAGAGAAAATTTCCCTGTGGAAGAAGAGCAGAATCACTCTGGGGGCTTTTGCATGCCATGGGTGGCCTTGGATCAGCATCCTCATCCTGGCTAAGAACAGAACCCAACATCTGACATCTACAACTATAGGAGAGGGTGCTTTAAATTAGCTCAGGATTTCAGTCCATGATGAGCTGGCTCCAAAGCTGGGACATCAGAGCAAGGGCATGGGAGACATCACTGCCTAGTTCCTGCTGCCAGGAAACTGGGGAAGAGAACCAGAGCAGGCAAGGTGAGGGACCAGGCACCGAATCCAGTGACCCACCCAGGTCACATCTCTGGGCTCCTCCCAGATGCACCTTGGTGTAGGTTTTACCATTCCCTGGGGCAGGCCCTGGTCGACATCCCATCAAGTTGAAATGTCACCCTAATTTGCCAAACTCCTCAAGATAGGCTTGCCTCCCTTTCCTCATCCTTGGTGTGAAATAGTGCGCCTTATGTTCACACTTACTGATGAGAATTTATTGCATTTCTTACTGTTCACATGTAAGTCTGAGGCCTCACAGCCAGTGGAGGGAATTGTTAACACTCTTGGGGTTGGAAACATTTGTTGCCTAAACCTTACTTTGATACTATGCTATCAGTGTTTTACCTTCAAAATAAAATATCTACCTACCATAAATTAAATAAATACTTACCAAAGAAGACTTTCCAGGCCATTTTCAATGATAACCATAATCATTTCCTCTAAATATTTCAATGGATCCTCAGGACGGGTAATAATTAAACCACATAAAAGTGCCTGTAAAAAAAGGGGTATTTGATCCTAGGTTTAAAAAAATATAAAGATGCAGCCAGGAGATGAGGGAAGGAGACACAAAAAGAATTAAGATGTGTTATGTTTATGTTCCAAATGCCCACACTGAATACAATCATGTTCTGTGAGTGTATACTTGTAAAATCAAATAAAGGCACTAAGATATGGTTCCCAAAAATAAATGTACATGCTCTTACTCAGAAAAAGATAATCTTTTCCCCATACAATTCAGTAGCTAAATAATACAACAGTCTTAAGTAAGCATGCTTCTAATAAATCCCTTTGTATTTCCCCAGGGTTGCTGCTTTGGTAAAGTCATATTAAAATGGCTGTATTCCTTGCCTCTTTATAAAAATCCATCAGAAGAGACTCAGTCCTAGCCCAAGCCCGGTGAGTGCGTAGGAGAGCTTCATGCTACCCTGTGCTTGCAGGACCTGCCGCTCACAGCCCAGGCGCAGTGTGGGTAAGACCCTCTTCTACCCCTTTGGGACACCCCCAACACTCCACAGCACCCCCTCTACAATGCCTGCTGAGCAAGAATTTCTGCCACATTATGGGGACCCCCAGATCCACTCCTAGGCCAGGCCCACTGAGTGTGTGGGAGAGCTTCCTCTCCCACCTACTCGACCTTGTCCCCTCTAGACTCAGTTCAGGCCTGGACTACAGGCCTGGGGTGAAACCCTGCAGCTGCAATCCCTGCAGAGAGAGTAGGGGACTAAGCCACCCAGCTAGTCCAGGAGAAGATCATCTTTCTAGAGGGGCACAACAGGTTCACTCCCAAGGGTGACAACGGAAGGAACTGAGCACAGCAGCCAGAACAAAGCCAGGCACAGCTGGATAAATCCCAACTTTGTAGATCTGCACCTGAATTTCAGTAGGTGCTAAGGTTAGAACTGAACCAAAGCTCTACAACAAAGGTCAGAAGGCAGTGCTACACAAAATGACAAGAAGAAGGAGCAAAATGCAATCTTAGAAGCCAAGCCCACCTATAAGTGCAGAGGACACTAACACAGAACAAATTGGGAATCCCACAGCTGAAAGCAATGAATCAATAGCTTCTGAAATAAAGAAACAACTGCAGAAAGGTTTAGAGGAACTCAGATTGGAAATGAAAAAAAATCCCTGAATTAATACCATCTGCAGTAAAGAATCAAATGCAGAAACATATGGAGGAAACCCAATGCCCACCCAGGACAAGTGCAGAGGACAGTAGCTCAGCTCAAATGTATGAATTAATAGCATCGATAGTAAATAAGCAACAGCAGAAAGTTATAGAGGAATTCAGAACTGAATTATTTTCTAGGAAATTATTTTCTAGGAAATAACTGAATTATTTTATTAGCTCAAATGTATGAATTAATAGCATCGATAGTAAATAAGCAACAGCAGAAAGTATTAGAGGAACTCACAGTGGAATTCTTTTCTGAAATAAAAAAAGAATTCTCAGAACTCATAACATCTGAAGTAAAGAATTAACTACAGAAACATAGGGAGGAAACCCAATCTGAAAAAAACACTGCAGTAAAAGAATTAATAACTGCTTCTAAAGAAGACATTGATTAAAAAAAATAGAAGAGATTAGAAAAATGACGGATTCTTTGAATGAGCAATATAGGAAAGAAATAGATCACATGAAGCAGAGTCAAAGAGATATGGAGGAAATTAAAATCTCAGTCACAAGCTTGCAAAACCGTTTGAGGGAAAGTGAAAACAGAGTTTCAGATCTTGAAGATGCTGGTGCAGCTAGTGAAAAGGTAAGAAAAGATCTCTTAAAAACAACTAGGATGCAGGAAAAAATAATTCATCACTTGCAAGATGATGCAAAGATGAACAATGTGAGA